TTTATGAGTTTTAATAGAAGTGAAAACGATTGTATGGAGCCCTCTTGTCCGTTGTATATTATAAACAGAAAAGGCAAGAACAATAATAAAGAAAATAATGCAGGTAGCAACTGGAATGCCACGTGGCAGTCAACATAAAAAGACATTGACTAACTTGAGTGCAAGCGTAAAAGAGAGGCATGTGGTTAGGTGCGGAAAAGTGGTCCCCGCCTCCACGTCATTTCACTGCCCCAAATACTAAATTGCTCACCCCCTCTTCCGCTGCTAGTTGCACGTGACACCACGTGCCTACTTTTCACCTTGAGGTAATAGAAACTAGAAACGCGTTTCCCTTGGCGAAGAAAAAAAAAAAAAAAAAAAAAAAAAAAAAACAGTTTTTATTTTTTATTTTTATTTACACAAAATCATCCACTTGAAAATAAAATATAAACATTAACGTAATATTTTTTATTTAATTCAGGAAGGTTAAATTCCGAGCTTTTATTTATTTATTTTAATTATATAATTTATGGTGTCCGTTGGATGAAAGATCCCTGTGAATCTATCTCACAGCTTCTGACACCGTCATTACCCCTTTCCCCATGCCCTCTGCAACACAACAAACCCAACGCATCAAAATATATATAATAATAATAACTCACTACTCTCTCATTCATTGCCCAATTACTGATTATATAAAATATATTTTCAAATTTATTTTAAAATGTGTGTGTTTTTGTGTTCAGTCTGAGATTCCCACATCAATTCTAACGTCTCTATGCCTCTCTCATTGGCTACATCTCAACTTCAGCAGCAGCAGAAGCAGTAGAGCCTTAACTATGGCTTCCAAATCCTTCTTCTGAAGATCCCATTTTTTCGTTTCAATGGGGAAGAAAGGAGGAGGTAGCTCATGGCTGACCGCCGTCAAAAGGGCTTTCAGATCTCCCACCAAAGATGATGACCAAAAGGTACCCTTTAATTTTCATTTCCTTCTTCTTCTTCTGATTCGTCCTACTTTTTTCTGCAGAGGCGGGAGAAACGCCGCTGGATTTTCAGAAAATCAGCATCTCAGCCGCCGGAGCCACTCCCTCCCCTCCAACCGCCTCTCCCCACTGATCACAAACATGCCACACCGGCTGCACAACCTCTTCACCTCACCACCCCTGCCCCTGCTCCATTGGATCGCCATTCTTACTCTGCCATTCTCATTCAAACCGCCTTTCGAGGATATCTGGTGAGCTCTCAACTCTGTAAATTTGTCATAATGTGAATAGATACCCTTTTTAACTTTTGAATTTTGGAAGGCAAGGAGGGCTCTACGGGCACTGAAGGGGCTGGTGAAGTTGCAGGCATTGGTGAGAGGCCATAATGTAAGGAAACAAGCAAAGACAACCCTGCAGTGCATGAAAGCATTAGTTAGAGTACAAGAGAAAGTGTTGGATCACCGTATGCGGCTCTCCCTTGAAGGCAGCCGACGGTCCACCTTCAGCGATACCAACAGTATCTATGAATCTCGCTATGTTCAAGACAAATGTGTATCAAGAGAAGGAAGCAGCGTTACAGACGACTGGGATGAACGTGCTCACACTGTTGAACAAGTTAAGGCAATGTTACAACACAGACGAGACTCTGCTTTGAATCGTGACAACATTTTATCTCAATCCTTTTCTCAACAGGTTTGAATTCATATCTCATTCCATCGTTTAATCAACAATTGTTATGTTTTGAATGCTAAACATGTTTTAGATATGGAGGACTGGAAGGAGCCCATCAATAGGAAACCAAATGGAGCTTGAAGAAGGATCAAAATGGCTGGATCATTGGATGGCTAAGAAGCCATGGGAGAGCAGGGCAAGAGCTTCCACTGATAACAGACCACAGCCACTTAAAACGCTTGAAATTGACACCTCTCGACCATACACTTACTTATCTCCCAACAATTTCCACACTACCAATTATCAAATTCAATCACAAAGATCAAACATGCTTCCATCTTCCTCCCCACTCCATAGAGCCCATCACAGCCAATTCCCCATCACCCCGTCCCCGTCAAAATCCCGACCAGTCCAGCAAATTCGGTCGGCAAGTCCTCGCTACAACAGAGAAGATAGAAACCAAATTAGCCACCACATTACACCTCAAACGCCAAGCTTGAGGTCTAAACATCAACATCACAAAGGGGGTGGTATTGGTGAAACTTCACTGCCTAATTACATGGCTGCAACAGAGTCAGCCAAGGCTCGAGTCCGGTCACAGAGTGCACCGAGGCAAAGGCCTGCAACTCCGGAAAGGGAACGAGTTGGGACTGCAAGGAAACGGCTATCGTTTCCGGTACCGCCAGATCCATACAGTAGAGTGGTGGGGTGTGGTGGTGTTCATGGGAATGAGATGAAGAGTCCAAGTTTTAAGAGTGCTTATGGAAGGTATGGTGGGTTGGAGGATCAGTCTAACTATTCTTCTTGCTATACAGAGAGCTATGGAGGAGAGGTTTCTCCATCATCAACCACTGATCTCAGGAGGTGGCTGAGATGATAAACAAGTCCACACAGTTGGGGAATGCAATAATTTTCTTCTCTTCATTTTCATTCTAAGAATCTAACATTCCTCTAAATTGTATTATTTTTGTTTCTTTCATATGCTTATCGGAGTGTTGGTGCATCTCAAACAAACGTCGGACCTACTTTTTGGCTTAGTACAAAGAATGTCTAACACATCTATTGCACTAACAAGAGATCAGTATGTGTACATGTCCATAAGGTGTTTATGCTTCTTAGTAATAAGGGAAGATTAATTCTATTTTCAATAGTTTCACTCTTAAACTTACAAGATAATGTTTATGTCAACTATTCCATTAAAGGAAGACGGAAAAGTGATGTGATAATGACTTGTAAAAGGATAGTATACGTGATATTGGTTCAATTTTCATTTATGCCGCTAAAATTCGGTGGATAGGAGAAAAGTCAATTGAAAGCGACGGTAGAAGAGCAATAAAGAAAAAGAGTAACATCCTAGTGTTTTGGGGCATCCCTACAACTTAAGTTTTTGTCGTTCCCTTCTGGATTAGTAAAATTTTAAATTCCCTCAAATTTTTTTAATGGGGAAGGAAACAATATTTTGCCATAATCTCCCTTTTTTTTCCACCCTTATATAAAGCTTCGTTTTGAATGTAACTAAGATTATTTGGTGTCTTTCTCCGGCTCATAACTAGAAAACAAATACAATGGTTATTTTGAAACAATTTCAAAAGTTAAAGTTTGAAAATATTGAAGCATACACTAAAGTTCACGAGCAACATTGATAATTGAAACATACACCTATGCCACATCTCTCTCCACCTTCATTTTAGCTGAAAACTTCCCAAAAAGGTTATTTTGAAACAAAATGAAACGTGTGAAAGTTTAGGGATATTATTAACGCCTACCATAAAAACAAACCTAAATAATCAAATTACAATGGAAACTCTAAAAAAGAGTTACATATATCTATCATTGTTAAGTTGCATTTTCAGTGGAAATTTTTTTACCACTTGATCAGAGAAGAAAATGGAAACAATTGTAAGGAGAATTCCACCAAAACAGGATCACGTTATTGCAGGCATAAAAGGGTTCAAAGATTTGTTTAAATTAACAATAATTTAAACAAACCTGTAAAGTAACAGTTTCTCTTAGAGCGCACCAAGAAAGATCAAAGAGATCCCCAAATCCAAGGAGTGCATCATCTATTACTATGCAGTTTTGGGACAGATTGTAATGTTGTTATAGCCGTGATTTGAGGCTAAAAGAAGGAGCACAATGTATGCATAAGTTGATTTCATAAAAGAGTATCATGACTTTGGTCTAAACAATAACTTAAAAAGACCATGTTTAGAAGACTCGATCCCCGATCCCATAAAAGTTTCCAGAGATTTATGCTATCAGTAACGAAAACATCCAGTCTTTCTTGTTCAAGAAAATATAACAAGGGTTGAATCTCTAAAGCTACGTCACTCTGTTGTTAGAAATTACGACTCTCCACAATGGCCCATGGAACCTCCCCTGAGGTCCTATGGAACACTCGAACAGTCTCCCCTTAATCAAGTCCTTGAACAAAACACCCTTTATTCGACACTTGAGTCACTTTTGACTATACTTTTATGGCTCACAACTTATTTGTTCGACACTTGAGGATTTTATTGGCATGACTAAGTTAAGAGCATGGCTTTGATGCCATGTTCAAAACTACGACTCTCCACAATGATATAATGTTGTCAACTTTGAGCATAAGCTCTCGTGGCTTTGTTTTTTATTTCCCCAAAAGGCTTCATACGGATGGAGATGTATTCCTCGCATAAACCCATGATCAACCCCTTAATTTGCCGATATGGGACTCTTCTCCCAACAATCCTCATGATCTGTTACTTACCTCTGACTCGTAAGTCTGAAGCAGAGGACTCTTCCTGCAGCTTGATGAGACACTCATTCCTATTTGGACTTGTTTCTTTTTTGTCCATTATAATTCCCTATTGTCTCCTTCCTATCTGTTTCACGAATGTAGCAAGCAGATACAATCTAGTCCTAGGAAGCTTGGGCATCATATGGCTATCATTTCTGGGCTCACATGTTATGGCAAGACTCTGTCACTTTAGTCTCTATCTATATAGAGTTCTTCTAGAGATGGGTCTTGGAAGCTTTGTAAGACTCATAGGGTGTGCAGAAATTATTAAGGTGGGTGACCTATGGTTTCTATCAAGACACCGATAGGAACTACGACTCTCCACAATGGTACGATGGTTCACTTTGAGCATCAGCTCTTGTGACTTTGCTTTTGGTTTCCTCAAAATGCCTCATACAATCCTTGCTTATAAACCGATGAACTTCCTCTTAATCAGCGACTCTCCACCTAACAATTCTCAACAAAACCCTTTTAATTTCTGACCAACAAGCACAACAAGAAAGAGCCACTAACCATGACAAAGAAGTGGTAGTTTCTTCATCTATTTCAACAGTCAGAACAAAGCTCAGAAGGGTTCCCAAATGGAGGAGTGGCATAAAGAATGTGCATACAATATTAAAAGTCATATATACAGCAGTGATTTAACATGGATTCATATTCAAATGTTGGGAACTCATTGACAATTCTAATAAACACTGCACATGAATATAAAATTCATTGACAATTGTAATAAAAAGAGAATGATAGAATCATCAAACCGTCTCAGAGATCTCCTGAAGGCGTTTCTCCAACTCAGTAAGTCTCAAGCCCCAATCGTTCTTGATTCTCAGAGGCCTCACTCTACGGTTCATCTCAGAGTTATCAGAGCCGCTCCCTTCGGTGGGAGGCGGCCCGTCTTTCTTCTGTTCTTTCACTTGTCGGGTTCTGTTCTTCTCCTTCACGGCGGCCGCCTTCTGCAGTGCCCTCAGAACATCTAACCCACTAATTTTGGCAGTCTCCAATTGCGATTCCTGTTTTCGTATGGGGCTGCGGGATTTGGGATTTGTGGATTTCGCGGCCGAGAGAATTTTGTGGCCGAAGCTTTTGATGCTGCTACTGTTGTTTGGTGTGGCGTTATCGGCGTCGGTGTCGGGTGGCTGAGCCTTCGCGTAGATGGCGGAGACCGGAGGTGTCGGAAGCGGCCTGGTTGGCAGCGGGAGGCGGCAGCAGGACGGGCTCGGTGAGGTTGAGAAGGCAGCCCACATGGTTCTTAGTTTGTGGCTAACACCAAGTTGGGCATTGGAGGTCTTCTTTTGGGTTTTCAGAAAATTTGTGGCCCAAAAGTAAAATAAAAAGTCAATAACTATTTTAATTAATTTTTTTGAATTAATTAAAATAGTTATTTAAAAAACGGTGTTTGAATTAATTAATTTTTTTATTTATTTAAATAATGATTGGGTGGATGATGGTTTACTTGTGACAATATTTATAATTATATCTTATGCTATTATTTTGCTAAATTTTTTTAATATTAGAAGAGAGTCAATTGAGGATGATGGTTGTAATATTATAATACCAATAGCTTCCTACCCAAGTTTAAATTTTATTTTATTTTTATTTAATTTCATAAGATTTTATTATTTATTCTTCCACCATGAAAATAATTTTTATTGGAAAGTAATATTTAAAATATGTATGGAAATTCAATTATAAATTTTAACAAAAAAATTTAAATAAATAATTTGATTAACTCTAAACTAACAAACATATCATCAATTAATTATCTAATAATAGTTGTTTTGGTTGAAAAACTTTACCATAAAAATAATTATATCAGATATAAAAAAATTTCAAACTCTAACTCAATCCAACCAACAAACATGTCTGATTAGACTAAAGTATTGTTGATATGGTCAATAAATAGTTATCCACTTAAATGAGATATAATAATTAACTAAAAATGTTTTTCATATAAGGAAAATAGAAAAAAATTTAAATGGAGTGATTTTTATTTTTAAAATTTATTAGGAAAAGTGTAAAATAGGTAATTAATTAATTAATTAAATCCGACTGGACATGAAGAATGTTTTTGGAGTAAATTAATGAATTTAAAATTTGAATATTGGGGTTGATATATAATTGTTTATATAGAAAATATGTAACGAATAAACTAACTTACAATTCCAATTATTACCCTTTATTAAATTTAGAGAGTATATTATTTTATTTGCCAAGTTAATTAAATATTTGTTCTTCTACATTCAAACTTTAAAAATGTCTATATTTAATTTTAACCTTTATTTTTACTTTTTTATCAAATAGATAGAAAATAACAACAAAATCAACAAGAGAGAAAAGGAAAAAAAAAAAAAAGAAAGAAAATAATAATTACCATATAAGGCTTTGACTTTTCCTTTTGTTCTCAAACTCCCTCTCAAAAATTATCAATCATCTCTAACAATCATGAGGGACAAAGCCAACCGCCGCAAGGCCGCCGTCGCCGTCGTCCTCTCCGCCGCTTCCAAGCTTACCGCCTATTTGGTCATCCTGTTGCTAACCTACACGCTGGGTTACCTATCATCCTCTACCTCTACGGCGTCGTTTTCCTCATCCGTATCTCCATCTAATTCCGAAATTATCCCTACTTATTCGACCCCTCAACTCTTACAGGTCACTGACGCACCTGTCGACATCGGCCAATTCCGAATCAGAACACGCTGTTCCCCACCCATCCCTCACCGACAGGTCCGTTTAACAATCCTCCAGAAGGTCTTCAGCGGCGAATCTCCCTTCCTCAACTTCCCTCCGCCGCACGTGGCGGAGCTTCTGCACCCGAAGAATATCAAGGGGTGGGGCTCCAACGGCGCCGTTTTCGAGAACCTTGTGAGACGAGTAAAGCCACGGACTATAATCGAGGTGGGTTCGTTTTTGGGAGCGTCAGCGACTCACATGGCCGAGTTAACTCGGCAACTCGGCCTCCAGACTCAGATTCTTTGCGTTGATGACTTCCGTGGGTGGCCCGGTTTTCTTGACAAGTTCAAGGAGTTGTCGATGGTAAACGGTGACGTATCGCTGCTTTACCAGTTCATGCAGAACGTGGTTGCCATGAACGCGTCCGGTTCGGTTATTCCGTTGCCGTTCTCAACCGGATCGGTTCTTGATAGTTTTTGCGAGTGGGGGATCTATGGGGACTTGATCGAGGTGGACGCGGGTCACGACTTTAACTCGGCCTGGTCCGATATAAACCGGGCTTACCGGATCCTTAGACCAGGTGGGGTTTTATTCGGCCATGATTATTTTACTGCTGCAGATAATCGAGGGGTAAGACGGGCAGTTCATTTGTTTGCTCAACTCCATGGTTTCAAAGTCAAAGCGGATGGTCAACACTGGGTTCTTGTCTCTCATTAATTTAACGCTTGCCTTTGTTTGTTTGTTTTTTATGTTTAAAACATGGTATTTAGAGCATAACAGGCTTGAGAATCCTGTAATTCGATTTTAATTTGTATGTCATTTAAAATATGCTCATTGTGTGTGGGAATAAAACTATTTCATTTTCAATTTGAAAAACTGAACGAATGACGATCTTATATGATACACATCGACCGCAAAGTTTAAAAGATAAGATAGAAGTTTTTATTTTAAAATAAATGGGTGATGGAATGAAATTCAACCATTTAATATCAAAGTGCGTTAAGTTCATAAATCATTCAAACACGAACTTCATCCACATAAATCTGTGTCACATACCTAAGCGTCATGTATTGATGAGTCATGACCTCTCATTGTTTCCAATTACAAAGTTGCTAAAACAGTATGAGAAATATCACTTCATACTCGTCGACTCAAATGGATTAGTAGACGACAACTTAATAGGCCACATTTTGTTTTTTTTAAGATGACTCCTTAATATGCCACATATTGGCTACTACACTCATGTGAACCCTTACCATGTGGGCAAGTTCACGACCCTGACTAATCCATCTCTTCATAAACTTCTTTGAGCAACTACAAACCCTCATTCCTATGCCAAGTTTACTAACAGGAGTTACTGGCTTAACTACATATCCTTACCTTGTTATAGAGACTCTAGGGGGTGACCCCATCACTGGTACCACCATAAAAACCTTTGCCCCGGGATGAGTTCATGATTAAAAGTATCTTTGAAACAACATAAAAGAATACTAACCTAAGACTAAGAAAATAAAATACCACTATCCTATGCACTTGTCATGGTCTCTACTTGTGATGTCATCGTCAGTCGTACATGGGTGTCTTGCTTTTAGTCAGGACAAAATTCGATGTTAATACTTCCGTACACACGACCGACATGTGTAAGCGTGGTGTCACAATCATGCTCGTCCAAGGCGTGTTGCCCATGGTCGCATACCCATGACAAGCCAAACCCTTTATGTCTTTCCATGTTCTAGTGTTTTACTTTTGTATTTCTAGGAAGTATCAAGTTTCGGAAAAATCATGTCTAGGCCTGCTAGACATGAAATACCTCAAAATGTACTATAGGGGATGTGACTAGTTGTTAACTTCTCCCTACCAATAGTTATATACTATGAGCCGTTGTTGTTACTCTCTTCCTTGCATATATAATACCTCTTTCAAAAATTTCTCTTTCGAAAATCTCTCTCTGCCCTCGTTTTCTAAAACCTTCTTCTTAAACCGAGGCTAGAGGCTCAAGCATACGTTGCTTGGCCGTAGGCGACGTAAGAACGAATTGGCTTAGCTCACTTGTTACTGGAAAGTAAGTGCCGCACAATCGCAAGTCCGCTACCATCAAAAGTACGATTGTGACAAGTGGTATCAGAGCTTTGTTAGCTCCGTGACATAGTAAAGACCAAAACCATGTCGACGAAAAAGTCGACACCCAAATCACAAGCCGACCGACTTACTTTAATAGAGGAGGAAATGTTGTTCCTCAAAGAAGTCCCTGACACCGTCCGCTTCCTGGAAGCACAAGTGACGAAATTGAATGGAAAATTCGTAGAAATCGACGCAATGGGCAACTGTCTGAATGGGTTGCCAATCAAAGAACTAATGTTTCGAGTGGCCTCGCTCGAAGAAAGAGTTTCTCCTACGAGCAGCTCAAGATCTACTGGTAGCCCTGATAGCTCTGTCGCGCACAAGGAGGGACGTGCCGAAGAGTTTGATGAGCTACAAAATACCATGATGAGTTTGTTTAATGGATTAGCTGACGAATTCAAAACAACGATCGAAGTCATCCAAGAAAAGATGGCCGAGATGAACACCCGAATTGGGGTGACCATGAAAGTCGTGGAGAAAGTCACAGCTAGGCAAACTCATACAGGATCCAACAAACTAAAGTTCCCAGACCCCAAACCTTTCAAAGGGAACCGGGACGCCAAAGAGTTGGAGAACTTCATCTTTGATGTTGAACAGTACTTCAAAGCCACAACGGCCTGTACCGACGACATAAAATTGACAGTAGCTTTAATGCATCTCATAGACGATTCAAAACTTTGGAGGCGTACAAAGGTGCAAGACATCGAGAATGGATTGTGCCCCATCGACTTGTGGGAAGACCTTAAGAGAGAGTTGAGGAACCAATTCTTCCCCACAAAGGTAGAATATATAGCAAGGGAAAAACTAGTAGCCCTAAAACAAACTGAAATCATAAGGGATTATGTCAGACAGTTCTTGACCCTGATACTAGATATCAGGGGCATGTGAGAGAAAGACAAGGTATTTCTCTCTCTATAAATGGGTTGCAACCGTTGGCCAAAATAAAAATACACGAGAAAAAGGTTCAAGACCTAGCCACCGCAATCACTAGCGCAGAGAGACTCATAGACTTTGGAAACGAAGCGAGTTTCCAAAGAAGAACAACACAGGCCCCAAACACTGGGGGCAAAACATATAAGCCGCTAGGTGATCGAAATGAAGGGCCCCAATAGGCCAAACAGAAGTAACGACAGACCAAGTGGGTAGATAGATAGACCTTCTCAGAATAACCAAGTGGGGACATCTCGAGGACCTTACCCTCAAAAGAACTACCTGACGACACCTTTACAATGCCTGTTGTGTAAAGGCCCCCACAAACTGTCTTACTGTCCTCACCGGGCCTCTCTTAGTGCACTCTAAGTGTCCATTCAAGAGAGCAACGACACAGGAGTTGAGACTACCCAAGACAAGAGGGAAGATCAAGACAACCCCTGAATCCTGAATGGGTCCACTTAAATTCTTGTCAGCCCTCCAACTGAAGGTTGACCCAAAGGAGATAATAGAGAAATGGCTTATGTTCATAAACGCAACAATAAACTCTCGACCGAGTAAGAGCACCTTGATAGACTCAGGTGC